TCAAATCTGGATGAGAGTCAAGTGTCCAAGGTCATTTTGTTCAAGCTCAATGTTACATGTTCAGCTCCTATTAAAACCAGTATTTATTTTTTAAGTATTTTTTTTACAATAATTCTTTTATATATTTGACAAAGCCTCCCAAACTACAACAATAAATTTTTTAAATATTTGACAAAACCTTCCAAACTATTTTTTTTATAATTTTTCTAAAATAATTTTTGTATAGTAATTATTTTAAACTCTCTTCTACGCATATTGTTTGGTTGTTAGTTTTATTCCCCTTCTTCTCCATACTTACAAAGTGTTTGATTGTTGCTTTCAAGTATCTAACTAATAATGGAAGATACCTACTACTAACACTCTAATTTACTATTTAATTAAAACTAACGGAAAACTCATGTCTTTGTATGGGTACCCGTCAGTGACGCGCATTTATTTACATGTAAAATAAAAAAAATATATAATTAATAAAAATCAGTAAATATAAAAATTAAATTTATATTAAAAAAACATAAAATCAATACCAGCGGACACTAGGTGGTGACACATATTTGTTTTAAAATAAAAATAAGAAGAAGAAAGAAAACAAAATTATTTTAACAACAAAAAAAATTATTTAAAAAAAAAACATATTTTATTTATATTTGGAGCATAAATATAGTTTTTCTATATATACAAATATTTGGATCAACAGTATATTTTTCGGTATGTAAGTATTAATTTTGTAAATATTTTTTTAATTATATAAATAAATATTAGTAACAAAAATAAACATATTTTGTCAATGTTTGAATTCTTACATTTTTTTAAAATATTTTTATTTTCACTTTTTTAATTATAAAAAAAATGTAATAATCCGTGCATTCGCAAAAGTTCTAGTCTAGATACTCGTGCATTCGCATAAATACAGATGTGTTACGTGCAGTTGTTTCTAAAATATAATAAGAATGAGAAAGACAGAAAGACAAGTTTATTTTTAAAATATTATTATTTAAAAAAAATATATTTTTTAATTATATTTAGATTAAAAAATTCTTTCTTATATTTGAATTATTAATATATATTTTTCCCATATTTATATCAATTTATTTTTCTCGTATTTATATCAATTTCTATTATTTTATTCTATATTTTATTGTATAAAATATATAGATTGACTATTATTTAACATTGAAGCTATGACAATTCCATTATACTGCTCCTATACAATGCTACTATGAATTCACATGATATTAAGTAGAGAAAAATTATATAAATTGTCAAACAATTATAATATTGTTATGAATAATAGTAAATAGACGTAAATACTCATCTTTTTATATTATTTAATTTTTATGAGTTAATTTTTTAACATTTATGTATCCATTAAATTAATAATTATTCATTGATTATTTATTATAAATAAAATCCATATTATAATATAAAGTGAACTTTGATAGAAGATAATATAATATTACTTTCTCTCTTCTCTTCCTCTCTTTAATCTCTATATTATTTTATTTAATTTTATGTCAAATATATCATATAAAATATTATAGACTATAACACAACATATTATGTTTATGAGCAAACTGAGGCATAAATAAAAAAGAATAAATTATTGCTATTAGAAAATAAATATATTAGTTACTGTACAAAAGAAAATCAATACTGCAGCTGTACCACAAAATACCCAAAATGATCTTTGTCTTATTTTTCGGAAGTTTCTCTTCAACCTACTGTACTAGAAATACACAGATTAACAGTGGAAAAAGATTCACAGCTATATCTGCGATTTTACCTGCGACTATGTATTGTGAAATATTATTTCCTGCAAAAGTTTATGTAGCAACAAATTTCGCAGGAGTTCCACAGAATTTAGCTGCAATTTTTTAAAATATGAATTTTCTGCGGATTTAACTGCGATACATTTCGCAGGAATTAGTTATCCAGTGAAATCACAGAACTCTCTTGGAAATATTGCAGGAAATGCTGCGAAGTTTGCTGCGGAATTTGCCGTAAATATTTCTGCGACTTTTTAGTTTATTTTTGTTTTTATTTATGTTTTTACTATTAATAAATAAAATTACTAAATATATACTGATTTCAAGAATATGTTGTTGAGATATTTTTTAATTTTATATTAAATCATAGTTTTTGTTAAGAAAGTTTTAAAATATTAATTGAGTTTTTTTTAATTATTTTTTAAAGAAAATTTATTTATTTAATACTTTTTATTGTTGTAAAATTAGAAAAATCAAAAATATAAATTTAATATAATTGTAAAATATAAGCTTATTTATTTAATAATTTTTTATTGTTGTAAAAATTAGAAAAAAATAAAAAATATAAGTTTATAATATAATTGTAAAAATATAAGTTTATGATATAATTGTAATTCATAATATAAGTTTATTTATTTAATTATATTTTTACTATTATTAAATAAAATTGTAAAATATTATTGACATATTGAATTTTTAGATTTATATATATAATATAAAAACAAACCTATTTTAAAATAATTTTTACAACAAGTTCTTTTTAGAAATATTAATAGGTATTAATTTTTTCAAAATAAAACACTTATTCCATTTTGATACCTTAACTTTAAGGATATATGTTTAAATTATTTTTAAAATTTAAATTTAACCTCATTGATTTAATATACATTTTTTGTTATAAAAAATTATATTTGATCTCTTGTTAATTATTAGAAAATTTTAATTTTAGAAATTCTACTTTAATTATAATGTGCTAAAGGAAGTTACATTTTTGATCTCTAGTTAAAATATTAAATTTTATAAAGAACTTTAAATTTATAAATTAATTTTACTCTTATATATGCTTATTTTGAATTAAAATAAGTTATATTTTATTTATTTTATTTTATTTTATATTTTAGTAAAAATAGAATTTATTAAATATTAAAAGTATTTTAGTTTTATTCTTATTTTCCTTTAAATTATTTTATTTTATTTAAAATATTTATTTGATATTTTAAATTGAGTTTGAGAAATAAATGTTAAGAATTTATATTTGAGTTTACTTTGAATATGGGCTTGAAGATTGGACCTCCCAAATTTTCTTCATATCCCACGTGAACTTTCCTTTCCTTTCAAATGAGACAAACATTCCTTTTCCAAAAACCCTACAGCCGCCGCAACTCATTCCTTCGCCACTTTCCGACCACTATGACTCCCAATCGGTGTCGGTCCATGAGTTGAAGATGTTGAGGTATGGATCGTGGAAAGCTACTCTGAAGGCTAGTAGTACCACCCTGTCTGATGGTGGACACGACTGAACAGTGGCGGTGAGTGATAGTATTAGTATCAGCAGTGTAACAGTTGTAGCTTTTAAAAACTTAATGCTATTCATTATGGTGGTTAGATCTTTTGTCTGACACCAAACCGAACTTGTTATGATTTGCCTAACAGTTTGGATTTCTTAGCTATTGATTTGCTTGGCATCAGGTTTTTTTGTATGACTTCTAGCTGTTTGATGAAATGCACAACTTAAACAAAACTTCATTTGTCTCCTGAGTCAGAGGTTCTGCAATAGAAGCTATGGGCATGTCTCTTCCATATAGGTAAGTACATTGGTAGATTTTTGGCGCTGCCTTTTGAACATGAATTTTTTTTTTCTGAATCTCTTTTCCTGATTATTAGGTAGTTAATTTTAACATGTATTTTCAGATGTGTGCCCCAATGTAAGGAATAAAGTAAAATTACTATGTAGTTAATTGTTGCTAAGCATAGTCTGGCTGTATTGTTGGCATAAAAGTTCTACTTCAAAACCCTTTTAAGGTAAATTGTACATGTGCAGTTACAAACAATAACATTGTTAAGAGTTTGGATATTTTCATGTTGGAATACCTAGTATCATTAGTAAGAACACATGCAGCACTGTGGCCATAAAAACACATCCAAAACTTCTTCATATAATATCAGAAACTATATGAGTTACATGATGTACAAAATTACATAAGTGCGCAGAAGTGCGCAAGGACTACAACCCTGAAAATCACTTTCAGGTGATGATGAATTTGCTGCTACTGGATTTCTTTGTGTCATTTTGTTAGTGCAACTGATCATATGAAAATGAGTATGATCAGATTCAAACAATATATAAAAATACTGATCAACCGCCACAGTTTTAGTGAGCTAGCTAGCTTTGCAGCTTCATGGTGACTTTCCTATTTATGAGTCATAGTAGGAAGTTTCAAATGTAAAATAATGCTAATCCTTATTTGTTCTTTCTATAGCTCATCTACACCTGCCGTGGATCCACTAAAGTTGGACGAGTGTCGGTTAGCCAGAAAATATCTTGAGTTGTTGAGGATGGACTTGAAGCCGAAAAAAAGTTAAGTTTGACTTAAAACACTGTTAGTTTTTGGTTTTAAATGCTAGTTTATGAATTATACTTTTGCAGGGGAACTATTTTGTTGACATTGTATTTGGTGGTATGGACAGCGTACATCTGAAAGGACCCAAGATTACAGCTGAACTTAAGTAAAATAAGTAATACTTTCTACTGTATTAGTAGCTGTATTTTTTTTTGTAAAAGCATTATCAATATATGTGTAAACTTGTCTGTTATTTGTCATGCAGATTTTGAAACCAGCTTTTTCCTGTGCTTATGGAAACAAAATCTTGTGTACTGGAGAAGCTCAACATATAATGCAATGAGGCTATACTTCACCACAATCAGTGCTTTGATATTTGGTAGTGTATTTTGGGATGTTGGTTCAAAAAGGTAATATTTCCTAGTTTTCATTTATTGTAAAGGAGTTATTTCATGAATGTAACTTTAAATCAAATAAAAAAGGGTAAGCGGCTTTATTCAGTTTGACTGACACAGTAACTATCAATGATATTATGTAGAGCATCAAATCATGAGCTGCTTGTGCTTATGGGAGCTCTTTATTCTGCTTGCTTGTTTCTTGGTGTAAACAATGCTTCTTCTGTCAGCCGATTGTTTCAATAGAAAGGACAATATTTTATAGAGAGAAAGCAGCAGGAATGTACTCTCCATTACCATATGCAGCAGCCCAGGTGTAGGTTTCATTACAACACTTAAAATTATCACATGGCTAATTTTTCAGCTAAATTATTTACTTATAATGATTGTTTAATCTGATTTTCAGGGGCTTATAGAAATCCCATACATTGCTGTTCAGACATTGGTGTTTGGCTTGATAACATATTTTATGGTCAACTTTGAGAAGACTGCGGGTAAAATATCAACTTTCCATATATTAATATATTGGTTGTTTTATATGTTTGGAGATTTCACTTCTAATGTATAATTGTAATTATTGCAGGGAAGTTTTTTCTCTATCTATTGTTCATGTTCCTAACCTTTACCAACTGCACCTTTTACGGAATGATGGCGGTTAGTTTTACAGCTTCACAACAGCTAGCTGCTGTTATTTCTTCAGCTTTTTACTCCCTGTGGAATCTTCTTTCCGGTTTTCTTATCCCAAAAGCGGTGAGTAATGCTATACTGAGAAATTTTTGAAGTTTCATTCTTTTTAAATCTTTCAAGTTGTTACTGAGATGCCTTACATTTAGAAAGTTGCTTTCCAAACTCAAATAAATTAGTCATTAATTTAACAGTGTCATAATAATACTGTAGTTTAAACAGTATATTTTACAATTGGAGTGTGTAGTGTTATTTTCACAGATGGAGTCTAAAATCCAATTAATTTTCCTGACTAGCTAAACCACCAAAAGTTTATTTTTTATCGGCTTCTAAAAACTAATATTGTGATAATGATTATGGATGTTTCAGAATATTCCGGGTTGGTGGATTTGGTTCTATTATATCTGCCCTGTTCAATGGACATTACGCGGTATTATAACATCTCAGCTTGGTGATGTGGAAACAACAGTTGTGGGACCAAGATTCAAAGGCACTGTGAAAGAGTATATATCTGCAACTCTTGGATATGATCAGAAAATGAACAGAATATCGTCTGTAGGTCTTTCAGTGATAGTCCTTATTGCATTCAATATCCTATTCTTTGGTAGTTTTGCTACATCTGTTAAAGTTTTTAATTTCCAGAAGAGATAAAAGATATGAATTGTCATTGTACGAGGTCTGCTTATTGTAGATGACATGAGACTATCTGTCATTCCTTGGTAGTTTCTCTTCTTCAGACCCAGTACTGGTTCCATCGAATGATTCACGTTTTCCTGGTGCTATTGGTGCAATTAAGCGGGAAGTGGGAGGCCAACGTCCTCCTGCGGAATTAAATGTGGCCAACACTTCTGAGAACAAATCTTCTGGTTAGGACATTTATAATTATAATTTTGTGTTTTAACATTTTTTGATGTAACAATGACGAGTTTTCATCCACTAACTGTATGACAAATTCTGAGACTAGTAGCTCTCTCTTTAATGACATGGAAGACAGCTCTCTCTTTAATGACTGGAAGACAGGGTTTTCTTACTCAGTCAGATCATCCCGCTACAAGGAAGTTGTTAGAAGATCTTCGTGCCCGTGGTCGCACCTGATCTTTTTGTATTTTCTTTGTACATTTTATGCATTGATATGCTGATCACCGCCAGGTCTGTTGGTTGAGGTCATGCCTTGTTGCTTCAGTTGTATGTGATTACAATGGTACGCTACCCGAGCGGGCTTTTCAGATGAATATATGAGGATTTCTTTTCCATGTTTGGATGATAGACTTTATTTGTCTCGGAAACTAGGATCGGGGGGGGGGGGGGGGGGGGGAATCTCCCCAAGGCACAGACACACGTTTGCATTTGCATGAATCATTTGCATGACGAGCACCTTGTCATTTTTCTAACCCTTTGTGTATGCAGGTTGTTCCAGGATTGACCGAAGACCGATCCACCGCTATCCGACCAGAGCGAATCAAGATAGAGAAATGGAACAAGTGCAAACTGACGTCCAGGAACTCCGAGAGAGGATGGACCGCTTCATGGAGCTCATGCAAGTGGTTGCCAACGGCCAAGACCAGCTCAGAACACTGGTCCAGCCTCTGATCTCAAGGGTTGACAGCAATGGTGTGCTGCATGGAGGGAGCGTTCCAGTCCCTCCTCCTGTTGAAACTCCTCAGGGGGCATCCCCGTGACCGGGGGGAATGGAAGTGGTAATGACAATGTGATCACTAATATCGGGCTCAATGGTATGATCAAAGATGAATGTTTGGTTGAGATAACCTTAATGTGGTTACTGCCCTATCATCTTTCTCCCATAATTTCTTTGATCATGGCTCTTCGCCTTTGCTTTATGATTAGCATTCTTATTTGATGATTGATGATTGATGTTTGATGGTTGTAGGAGTTTCACTTCTCCCATTTCATCTCATTTTTCTTGACTTGTCTAAGTCATTTGCTTATGTTTGAGTCTCTTGTTGTTGAGTCTTGGTTGCATTTTTGCATACTTGTATTTCATGTTTGCATTTCATCTTGCTTTGACTTGTTTAAGTCACTTTCATCTCTCATCTCTCTTCATCTGTGATTGAATTTCTAAGTGTTTACTTGTGCTCTTTTACCATGTTCCCTTAGGATTCCTAGTCCCTCTGTTTAAGATGAGAGTAGGAGAGACATTAGGCGTTCAATCCTTTGCATGATAACATTAGGTAGTCCCCTTTTCAATCCCAACTTTAGGATCACATTGCATGATAACATTAGGGTTGACCAGTTCCCCTTAGAGTGTTGTTTCTTCTCTTCTCTTCTCATAACTTCATAAGACACCTAATAAAGGTTAACAATTATTGTATGCTACGATCCTTAAGTACTTGAGGAATGATGAGTGGGGGGCCTCCTCTCACCTTGTCTAGAGTGTTTAGCGAATGCCCTTTGAGTGATATGCGACACATTCGCTCTCAAGTCATAGTCTTTAGTGCAACATGAGTTTCAAATCTAACTCAATTCACTTCTTGTCATAAAAACACAAAATAACATATCAAACCTTTTTATCCTTCGGGATTGTTTGCAAATCATTTTCAGAAAGAGTGTGTTAAGTCTTGGTTCTACCGCAAACAGGTATTGTCCCTAACTGCTAGAACAAAGATTTAACCCTACTCATTAAAACACTTGAACCAACCAGTGGTCGTGTCAGCCCGAACTACGTTTTCTCTGATTTCTCATACCAGATGAGGATAAATAGGCACAAGACGGCGATATCTTGGCGAGTAACCTTCCCCCATCACCTGTAGTTTCTCGAACTACGTTGACTCTGACTTTCCCATTGCATGAGGGAATACGTAGGCATATGACGATGATGTCTTATCAAGTCAGTTCTTTCTCTTCACCCCCGTTTAGCAGTAGCATTAGATAGTTTTCACCCATAGATAAACAACAAGCGTGGATCCCGTTGAGTACAACGGACGTGAGGGGTGCCCATACCTTCCCCTTGCATAATCGACTCTCGAACCCAAGATTTGGTTGAGATGACCTTGTCTTTTCCCTTTTCGTCAAGTTTTCTTCGATCGTTTCCTTTCCCTCTCGTTGGGATAAATAACGAACGTTGGCGACTCTTTTGTTACTCAGCCGGCTTCTCCTTTTTCGCAGTGATGCGACAAAGTGTTATGGTACTTGCCAATGATTTCACGATTTAAGATACTTTTTTTCTAATTTGAATTGTGCAAAGAATCTTAGATGGCTTGCAGATGAAAGGACTCGTGATGGAAACATTTTCCATGTAGTTGATTCATTGCAATGGAAGAAAATTGATTCATTGTTTCCAAATTTTGGAGTTGAACCAAGAAACATTAGGCTTGGGCTTGCCACCGATGGAACAAACCCCTTTGGTAATTTGAGCATTAATCATACTTCGTAGCCTATTCTTCTCACTATTTATAACCTATCTCCTTGGTTGTACATGAAATGTAAGTATATACTGTTAAGTATGATGATTTCTAGACCACGACAATCTGATAATGACATAGATGTTTATCTAAGTCCATTAATTGATGATTTATGAATCTTGTGGGATGAAGGCGTTAAAGTTGATGATGCATATTCTGGGGAAAAGTTTAAGATGCGTGCAATGTTATTTTACACAATCATTGACTTTTTTGCTTACGGTAACTTGGTTGGATATAGTGTTAAAGGATATAGAGTGTGTCCTATATGTGAAAATGATACTTGTTATCACCGACTTGAGTTTGGAAAAAAGACCGTTTACCTTGGGCATCGAAAACTTCTAAAACCCGATCATCCTTATCGTAGATTGCGGAAGGCTTTTAATGGAGAATAAGAGTCTGACGAGGCTCCTGGATCTTTAACCAGAGATGAAGTTTATCAACGGCCGAAACACATTAATGTTGTCTTTGGAAAAGAGGTCCATCTTCTTTGATCTTTCATATTGATCGTCTTGATGTTAGACATTGTCTTGATGTGATACACATGGAGAAAAATGTGTGTGATAGCTTGATTGATACACTTCTAAACATTCAAGGCAAAACTAAAGATAGTATGACTTCCCGTCTTGATATGGAGAAGATGGGTATACAAAAACAGTTGGCTCCAATAGAGAAAGGAAAAAGAACTTATCTGCCTCTAGCATGTCACACTTTATCTAAAAAGGAAAAGAAGATTTTCTGTGAGTGTTTTCAAGGTATTAAAGTTCCGCAAGGTTACTCATCAAACATCAAGAAACTTGCATCAATGAAAGATCTCAAGTTAATTGGTTTAAAATCTCATGATTGTCATGTCTTAATGCAATAGCTTCTACCAGTGGCTATCAGTGGGATCCTACCAAAAAATGTGAGAGTAACTATAACGAAATTGTGCTTATTCTTCAATGGGATATGTAATAAAGTTCTTGATTTCAAAAAATTAGATGAATTAGAAGATGAGGATTCCATAATCTTGTGTCAATTGGAGATGTATTTTCCTCCATCGTCATTTTTTGACATTATGGTTCACTTACTTGTTCGTCTAATTAGAGAAATCAGAATTTATGGTCCGGTTTATTTAAGGTGGATGTATCTAATAGAGCGATATATGAAGATCTTTAAGGATATACGAAGAATCATCACCGACCGGAAGCCGACTAGCGAGATATTTATTAATTCTGCAGAAAATGTAACAACAATTATATATCATAATCGTGATAATATTTGTTAATTCTGTAAAAAATTTAACAACGGTTATATATCATAACCGTTATAATATCCCGCGCGCTATCCTGAAAAAAAATATATCAAAACGGTGCAGCTGGGAATCGAAACTAGGACCATTTATTTATCACAACGGTTTTTTGGAAAACCTGTTGTGATAAGGCGAGCGCTTTCTAGTTTATTACAACGGTTACTGGACCGTGATTGTAAGTATCATATATACAATGGCACTCTACATAACGTCTGTTCCCTTGTGATTATATACCATTCTCAACCGTTGTTAAATGGGTTTTCCGTAGTAGTGTTGTAGTTTGATATCAGTCGGCAAGTTAGCTCAAGATAAACATTGTCAGACTAACTTTTTCCGTACTCATTTTGTCTTTTAGGATTTGAATTCGGAAAAGTTGATTGAAAGTGTTAATGAAGGTGGATGATTCTATTACTTCGACTTTGGAGATGAATATCAATGACCTTGTGAACGAATAAGTGCTAGCTTTGAATCCTTTTTTGTTTTATATCATGATGTTTGTTATGACATTTACGATTAAGTGTAGCCCTATATTTATATGTTTTTTACTAGAAAAACTAAAATTAATTGAGACTTATTTGAAATTTCAAAAAAACTTTGTAGATCTTTTTTATGCATTTTGAAGGAAATCTCTGCAAAATATTAGCTCAAAATTCAACATAAATCAAATTTGATTTGTTTCTATTTCATGAAAAAATGACAGTTAGTACAAAATAAAAATAAAAAACTCCAAATTTGTGAGAGATATGCATATTAAGTGATTAATGTGCATGCATAAAATCATGAAAGGATGAAAAAGGTTGAAGAATTGTCCAGGAGATATAATTTGCTACAGATTTGCTACACTTTCCTGATTCAAGTAAGATGTTTGATCTTAGTCATGCGACAATGCCATGTCAATGTCTTTTCAACACATGCATTGCCATTTGTACATCTAGTCAACAAAA